CCCGCCTCCCGCGCCTCGGGAGCGGGGCGCTGGGCCCGCCCGGGGGTCTCGTGCTGGGCGGGCTCGGCCGCCGGCCTGGGCGGGGGTCTCGGCGCCTCCGGCCGGGAGGAGCTCGGACTGAGGCCCCCGAGATGGGGTGGAGGGGAGGAGGACACTTTTAATCTCTTCAGGGCGGACACTGTGGACTGGGAAATGTTTTTAATAAAGGCGTTCACGCGCCCATTGGGAGTAGTTTCAGCACCTAAAATGCATGAAGGAGTGGATGCATTTTATGTTAAAAAGACTTTCTGGACTGAGCAGGGCTGATGTACGCCCTGTGAATAATCGTGATACATGACCCACTGGTCAATTTTTAACAAAATGTGTTCATGCTGGTGAAAGAGAGTTCCTGTAACTTCTGTTTACTGAAACAAGGACAATTAAGAAAACAAGATACGGGCACACCCAATTTTATAGCGCTTAAGGTTTATTGCGCTTCACAGGTGTGTGTTTTATAAATTGAAGGCAAGACCCTCCACCAGCGAGAAGACCGACTGGCTTGATTAGCAGTGCTCGTTTGTTAGGGTGCCTGGAGCTCACCCCGCAGTCCCGACCAGCGTGGCCTGCGGGGAGGCAGCGGGGCTGCTGCTCATCCCTGGCTCCCTGGAAGTGGGCCTCACCCAGGGATGAGTGGTACATGGAACTGAGAAGCCCCAAGTCCCACTTGAAATTGGAGTATCCCAGAGAAGAAGTGTCTAAGTAGACTAAGTAAGGCTAGAGGGCTAAGGGCCGATGTTTGATTTTTTTTTTTTTTTTTTTTAATTACATGTAAAAGGGAGATGTTGCTGGTTTCAGAGCTTTATTTTATTTATTTAAATCCTCACCGGAGGATATGTTCATTAATTTTTAGACGGGAGGGGGGAGCATCGATGTGAGAGAGAAACATCTGTCAGTTGCCTCCCGTCTGTGCTGGACTGGGGTTTGAATCCGCAACCTAGGCATGTGCCCTGAATTGACCTGCAGCCTTTTTGGTGTATGGGACGATGCTCCAACCAACCGAACCACCCGGCTGGACCAGAGCTTAATTTACAAGTGTGTACTGATCCTCCCTTATGAAAGTAGAAAAATTCACTGTCAGGTATTGGAGAGGAAGGAGACTGTAGCTTTTTGTTTTTCATCTGGGAATATGTAGGCTGGGAAGAACTGCAAAAGAACCACACAGATTTCCCAGATATTTTTGGATATGTAGGTCCAGTCCACTTGAGAATATGAGCTTAGGCTTCAGTGTCAGCTGCCCATGTAAATTTAGCTTGTTTAACTGAGGCCCAGGCTTAAGCTATTCTAATTGTAAAATAAGGTGATATTTGATCTCATAGGAGTCTCTGAATCTTGATGTAGAAGCTTCATTTTAGTCGAGAGTGGACCATTTTAAATTTACCCCAGGCCCAGGGCTATCCCTGGAGCCAAATGGAAGATGAGTTGGAGATAATCTGACCTCTGCCCTGGAGTGGACAGTATAAGTGGGACAAGATTTTCTAGTTAATACTAACTTCCAGAACTTATTCTATCACTCTTTTCTTCTTAAAAATGGTTCTTTGAGGAGGTTCAAAATGAGGCATGCCTATTAGTTTGGGGTGGCAGTTTCTGAAATAAACGGTCCTTGAAAGATTTCTTAATATTGCCTGAAAAATATTCCTTAATTTTTTAGGCATGGATTTAGATGCTGTTACAAAACACTCAGCATTACACGCCAAGCCCGGTGGACTCACTGTTCAGTATGGCACTGCTGGATTTCGAATGAAAGCAGAACATCTTGATCATGTCATGTTTCGCATGGGATTATTAGCTGTTCTAAGGTCAAAACAGACAAAATCTACAATAGGAGTCATGGTAACAGCATCACACAATCCTGAGGTAATGCATTTAGTGCTCTGATAAAGCAAACCTTTATTTACAAGACCAAACCTTAGTTTGTCTGAGCAGTTTGACCCAACATACAAATTCTAATTCTAGGAATGGTCCCTTTTTTTGTTTTGTGCCTTTGGATTTGAAACAACTTTTTCTTGATGAGTGGCTACTTGACTCATGACTCTTTAGAGGGTGTGGAGCGAATGAAATGAGACTGTCATTTTTGAGGGAGTGTCCCTATTAGAGAATAACAGAATGTCCTTCCAAATTAGTTATTTTGTTACAGTATCAGTAATGAAAAGTCTTACATCTATTGATTTAGCAGAAATTAAAGGGATTGGGGAAAGGTGGGGAAAAGACAAACATTTGCAAAGGCTTAGCACATTTTGAAACTTTTCAGACAGGTTTTTTTATAGCTAGCAAATAGTTTCCTGTTCTGAAGAAACAGCCAAACAGGAGGCTCCAGGAATCCAAAAGTGAGCTTTCGGCGAAATGTTGATGAGGCCGATGGTATTTATGACTTTTTTATAAAAGTATTCCTTTTGATACAACTAAACTTTTATTCTGTAGCTCACTAATATTACATGGTTTGAATAATATGCTTCTCTTTGGTTGCTAGGGCATGAGATTTTTGCCTTTGTAGCTAAATTAACAGTAAGTAAAAACTATATAGGTCAGTAAAGGGTTGCAACCTCTTCCCCCAAAACATAAAGACTTTGCTTGTCCAACTCTAAATGTGCATCGCTATAAATGCATAAGTATCTAAATGTCTGAATCTCTGTAATTGATTGATGGCTTGTAAGCAGAACCTCATATTTATTGCTAGTTCCAGAAGCATTTCTTAAAACAATTATAAGCTGTTTCCTTCAGTTGACATTCACTCTAAACTACATTTTATTTTTTCCAGAAATTTGAGCAGAACAGAATTAGGAGTCAGTGTTCAGCTTCTGAGCCACCCACTGGTTGACACATTGGGCAGGATGTGCTCAGAATCTAGTCATAGTGAGAAGGAGCTTTAGGTGCCCTCATTCTGCTCCAGCTGTGCCCTAGTCAGTTAACTGATGTTAAAGCGTAGGTGGAGGCTTTTTAAAACTAGTGTAGTCTGTTGGGCGTAAGAGTCAGATGGTTTAAAGATTTAATGTCATCACTGATGCTTCTTGGCTCTATAAACATAAGCCAATTACTTGATCTGAATCTTAGTTTTCTCAGATTGGAAAAATAATAAGCTTATTAGATTGATTGGTGGGGTCATGAGGATTTACTGAGCTTATGTATATAAAGCACTAGTCTAGCATCTGGCATTCAGTAGGGTTCTCTGGTGAAACTGCTCAGCCATCCCTGTCTCTTGTTGGGGGAAAACAGCTTGAATTTACTTTCCTCAGCTCAACCTTTTGAATATGCACAAATAGCTTATCATTTGTTTTTCTTTTAAGGAAGACAATGGTGTCAAATTAGTTGATCCTTTGGGTGAAATGCTGGCACCTTCCTGGGAGGAACATGCTACCTGTTTGGCAAATGCTGAGGAACAAGATGTGCAGAGTGTGTTGCTGGACATCAGCAAGAAAGCTGAGGTGGATCTGCAGCAAGATGCCTTCGTCGTGATTGGTAGAGATACCAGGTGACCATGGAGTTAGTGATGAAAGCAGTTTTGGGAACTCAGTATAAGTGATTGCATCAGTTTCAGTACCCATGACAAATCGGAGGAAAGAAAGTAGAACTGCCCCGAGAGGCATCTCCCCTGCCTGGCTTTGTAGGAGAATGCAGGAACTAAGTCACCACTGCTGCTTGGGTATTTTGGAGTCTGAACACCAACACTTACTATCCGCTTAACCTTTTGGAGCTTCCCTTCACTCATCTATAAAATGTTGATGATAAGGCCTAATACAGGGTTTTTGTGAGGGTTTCATTAATTACATGAAATAATGTATGCAAAAGATGTATTTCCTGGCACAAGAGAAGCATTTAACAAATGACTGCCACACCGATACTCCTCAGTTTACTTTTTCCCCCAATAAAGAACACGACTTTAACTCATTATTTTTAGAGATTTATTTTATAATCTGTGTTGTTGGTTCATATATTTATATTATTTTCCCATGCTGGAGTTCACTGTAAAGTATTAACAGTTTATTTCTACAAATTTGTCATATTTTGCAGCTATTGCCTTTCTTCATAAAAAGATACTTCTGTAAAATGTTAGATTTAAAGTGTACTTTGAAGTAGAAGCATTCACTTTCGTATAAGATCTGGTTTTAGCCAGAGATGCTTTCTAAAGGAAATTTTTGCTCAGTTTCCTATTGCCTTTGACTGGTGTCTTACCCTGAAATGTGTTATCAGAGGCACTTCCAAATATCACTGATTCCATGATCACTGGTATTTATAGGCAGCAGAAATAGCCAAGTGACTTATGTTCTGAGGCAGATTATCTCACAGTAAAGCCATCCCAGGTGTATTTGCCTCTTGCCTATTAACTGGTTTAAATGACATAGACATAGAACATCTTTTTCTATGAGGCAGTTA